TAAGTAAACCGCAAAGGGTTGATAAGACGTAAAAAATGAATCTATCCATCAATTCATTCCATAAAACCGCTATCAGTTTTATTGAGGTCCTCGATGCGTCCTTGAAAATGACTACCCGTCTAAATCGAGTTGATATATAATAGAAATATGGAATTGAATTTTACTCGCAACCGGTAGACATTAGTTCAGAAAAGTCATTTATACGTATAGAAGAAAACCTAATAAAATAAAAAAATAAGCAGAAATACCTTGTCGGCTTTGTTCAACGAAACATGCATTAAAGAGTGATTGCTGTCAAAAATACACACTGTAGGTAAGTAGGTAGTTTAATACTTTGGTTTTATGTCCAGTGTGAATTTCTAAATCAACTGTAAAGTCTATTTTTTATTCTTCCCGCTAAGCAACTGTAGCACGGATGGTTTCCGCAACACAGTGAGTCAAGTGAACAGAGGTTTCTCGAGAAAGTGGGGACAAACCAAAACGCGAAAAAAAAAATTAGGGCGTCCAGCTGATAAAATCATCAATGAGGTTCGGCCCGTCAGAAGGTTCTCTGTTCACTGACAATCGTTAAGTACACCACGATCGGCGCATAAGTTACCACGAGAATGCTGCAGTGAGGTCATTATGCTACTGAATTAAGGACAGGGCTTCCTTTTCTTTTTTTACAAGAAAAATCCAACTAATATCAAGCAAAAAAAACATGTTTATGGTCTTAGAAAATTGATTAAAAGTTCATTTGGCTCAAATCGGTTTTCAGTGTATGTGTAGTTATTTAGAAAAACTACTTTAGCCTGTCGCCCAGTGAAAATCGAACTCTTTACTCTGTAATAAGAAATTGCAGGAGCAGCTTGTTGACTATTACTTTAGATCAACCTCTAAATTAGAAAATTGATTATCGAAAACGACTTGCTAATTATCGCACAAAGGTTGACACCCAGCCTCTCTCTCTATCTCTCTCTCTCTCTCTCTCTATATATATATATATATATATAATATATATGTGTGTGTGTGTGTGTGATAAGCTCATAAAGGGTTGCCCTAATCTTTCAAATGGGGAGAGCTGCTTTTAAAAGTTCATCATTTCAATCCCCCTGAACTCGTGGAAAATGTACTAGATACTTGGCAAGTTATATTTTGGTAGCCGTTTTTACATTAAATAATTTTGGTTAATGACCAACGAAGGTTCTTTGTTATGGCTTAACTTTATATTTTCTATATTTTGGCTCGTTTCCCTAATTTCCGCTTTTTTTTTTTTTTTTTTTTTTTTTTTTTTTTTTGTTATCTCTCCTGAACCCTGTTCTGCCAGGATCGGCGTTGCTTAACTTCTAAGATCATACGGGAACCAGTGTTTCAAATTGATGTGATCGTAAACCTATTTCACAAGTAAATCATGGATGATGGGGGAGTATTTTCTTCTTATATGTGACATGCCTCTTCAGGACGTTGGCGATTATGGCTCTCCATAATTTTCTCTCCTTATTAGTTAAAATCCTCATTGATGCTTGTGCATAGTCTGTTTTATTTCTAAATCTGAAAAAAAAAAAATTACGAAACCTATCCACGCTAGTTTTCATACAAATTTCTGCTTTTGAATAAAACTTGCCAATAAATATCTCCTTATTCACTCATCATACGACTACAAGCCGACCTCGTTCTTAGTTTGTCTTTAATAGCAGCCAACTTATTATGCAGAAGCTTTTTGATATTATCCCCCCTCTTTGAGCTCTGTCGGACGTGGGAACATATTCCTAGTTCAATATTCTCTGTGTAAACAAATTTCCCATCATCTGGCGTGTTTTTGTCATCACTAATAATTGATCAGAAACTATAAGCAAGCGACGCCATTTTTTTTTCACTTTTCCCCCCGTACAGCCTTGTCCAGTGTCTACCTCATAATGTCCAGGTTCAGCCCCTGCCTATAAAACTGTTGGCCATCAACTCTCTCTTTCTCTCCCTCTTACGATCCGGATATGAAGGGAAATGCTGGTAAATAATTAATAGGACATTTCATCTGTGCATCGCAAACACAATACTGCCACGTCTATTTAGCGTTTGCCATACTGATTCATTCTGCTCGCTTTTGCGATTAGAAAGATTATCAACGGCGTTGCTTATTAACGACCGTAGAATGACGATCTGAGTGCTGTGATAAATGCAACTGAAATTAAGATGAAAGAAATAGTAGTCAAACTAACAGCAATTCGTATTACCTTACGGCCATATAACGTTGGAACTCTGGTTCCCGTAACATCACCGAAGTTAAGCAAGATCAATACCTAGAAGAGTGATCGTTTGGAAATATGGGGTGCTTTAACTTTGAATCTGAGGGTGGTGTTAGGGATGAGCCAAGTTCCAATTTCAATCGGGCTCGTTATATTTACTTACGCGCAAATACCCTTTGGGAAAGATATGAATCCATCTCTTCTCCCCCAGCTATGGGTTAATTAGTAAAATTGGTATCACCAAATCATTATCACTCATTAAAAAATTCTTACAATCTAAAAATGTTCTCTGGTTTTGAATAAGCTGCAAATGGTTGATAATCCGTTGTAAATGAATCAACCAAACAAAACAATTGACAACGCACCAAAAAATTAGCAACATTAGTAAGAATTTTATTTATCTTTTTGTGTGTGTATATATATATATATATATATGGGATAGGTGTGTAGTGTAGCGGTTATCAGCACAGAAAGTGAGATCGGCGGGTCGAGTTCGAATTCTGGCCGGATATGTTGCATTCACTTTCTCACTATTATCCTTGGAAATGGAATGAATCCATTTCCGGCTCTCAGATATGGATTAAATAGTGGCGTAGTCTAGGCTCTTTAGACTTAAATGTCAACAATTCTCGGGGAATGACAACTCTGGAAACCACTGTAGGGTCTTTCTCAAGAAGTTATATCAATTTACCGATATTAAAGAAAAGAACTTGTAGAAAGTCAGGATCGTTGAAAGGAATTGGAATTTAACAAAAAAATATTTGATACGGTACTTGCTTCGATTTTCAAACCTTGTTATAACAAAGAATCCCATTAGATCAACAAAAAAAAACTGAAGATGGAACCGTGAGTTCAATTCCTAGAACACTGAACGTAGTAAAAGACGCTCTGGTTTTCCTTGGGGAGTGACCATCGGATGCTGAATACACCTGAAATAGAGTGAAAAGTACACTCGCCAGAACGTTGAATTGAAAACTACAACAATGGTAATCGATCAAAGCAACCATATCACTATACCCTTCTAATTTCATGTTCCCTTGCTTCAGGTCACTACGCATAGAAAGAAGGGAGGGAAAAAAGCTACATATCGATTATCTCCCTTCCTTTAGCCAAACGGAACATAGTAAATAATTAATGTAAAAAGATGCTAATTTGAAATAATCGTTGATAAAAAAAAAAAAAATGCCTCATTATTAATTTTTTTTTTCTTTTCTCTTTGTTTTGTCGGAACTCTCAATCTGCGTTTATGGCTTTTAGTCATCCATATAGAGGAAAGTTTTCGACAAGATTTGAACTCGTGTTTTCTATCCTTGAGAACATGTGGTCAAGCTGACATTTTACTTTTTCCGTAACTAAAACTAACCAGAAGGTGTCATTTAAATTTATATAAATAACTTATTCAATCTAACCTATAAAATAAAATAAAAATGTTTTCCGAAAAAAAAAGACAAAATAAGATGTAAAAAGAAGAATTAATAATGAAATGATTTAGCGAAAAAAAAAATGGGACAATTTAAGACTATTGTTTACTACCACTACTAAGTGGTAGAAAACAATATGGCGTGGTGCAAAAATTGGATACACTGCAATTTGAATGACGTCGAATTGGGAACTTTCGTAGCTTAATAGATCAAACAGGCTCCGAACGATATTGAATGGGACTTCAAACCTTCTTGATAGCTTATTCTTTAATTTTAACCTCTGCAGCCAATTTGAACGGTCGAAGATTTTACAAACGAACAGACAGTTGCGATAAAAAGCATCAAAAATATGAAACAAAGTCCAGTCAAAAATTAATGACAATGCTTAAGAAATTCAGACTGCTACTCTGTGTAATAATGACAAAAATAAGACGACGAAAGCAAAACAATGATCAGGCTTCATCTCAAGAAAGTCGCTTAACTATTAAATAAACTTCATCAGAAAATTTGGCATTTAGAATTTCCTTTGACAATGATATGGTGATTTTTCTAAGCATAGCTTAGATGTGGCACAAGGCCGAAAGTATGGAGCACCCAGTGAAGATCGAACACGCTACTCCGTTGTAATTGATCTAAAGAGACAAGCTTGCTAATCATTACACCTCGTCGAAGTGCCACCTTTGACAATGTCTTAGAATAATTAGTTACCTGGCTGGAAGGAACATTCTCGCGGTTTGTAGAGCATTAAATTTATTTAGAAACCTTGAGGACTTTCCTTCCAACCAGATATAAATGTAGTCTCTCTTCTAAATCTAGTTATGTAGGCTTTCCATATCGAGAAAGACTACATATGGAATAGCTTAATTGAAGCTGTATTGCTTGCTATATTTCTCGGCTGTAACTGTAAATTGACTTGTTCTGCAGATCATTTTATATTTTTCGTTTCCTTTACAATTACGTCCGTTCGGGAAATAGCTTTGGTGCTGATGAAGTTACGTACTTGCTGCTGGCGCCAATAACTGGTGTTCGAACACTGATAAAATGACAAAATTGAATATGCTGGTTTTCATAGAAGGCAGAAAGACAACCCACCTTGTGCCATACTTACAACACTTCGTAAATATTAAAACAATTCTCTTTCAGGTAAATGTCAATTGTATAATCAAATGCAAAAAGACGTGGGTGGTCTGTTTGTCGGCGATAATTATCGACCGAGATGCGAAAGTTCTTCTTAAATCTTATTTATTTGTTTGTGATATAATGAAGAATTGAATCACAATCTATTGATCTGTCAGACTTTCTTCCGTCCCGAGAGAAAAAGATAGAAGTGATGTAGAGATAAGCAAAGAGAAAGATATTAAGAGAGATATGCAAGAGAAGAAAGAGATAGAAAAGATAAGAAATAGAGAGAGGAGAAGAAAGAAGAGACTAAAGAATAAGCTGAGAGAGAGGAGAGGCTAAAGAATGAGCTGGAAAAGAGAGGGAAGAGGCTATAAAATGAGCCGAGAGAGAAAAGGAAGAGGCTATAAAATGAGCCGAGAGAGAGAGGAGGAAGAGGCTATAAAATGAGCCGAGAGAGAGAGGAGGAAGAGGCTATAAAATGAGCCGAGAGAGAGAGGAGGAAGAGGCTATAAAATGAGCTGAGAGAGAGAGGAGGAAGAGGCTATAAAATGAGCTGAGAGAAAAGGAAGAGGCTATAAAATGAGCTGAGAGAGAAGGAAGAGGCTATAAAATGAGCTGAGAGAGAGAGAAAAGGAAGAGGCTATAAAGTGAGCTGAGAGAGAGGAGAGGCTGAGAGATTAAAGGCTATAAAATGACCTGGGAGAGAGGAGGAAGAAGAAAGTAGATGTAGAAGAGAAAAGAGATTGAGATAAAATAACACGTAACATCGATGGGAGAAGTGATGGAAGCAGAAAAAGATAGAAGAGAGATGGGAATAGAAGAGGAACGAGGAGGGAGAGAAGAAATAGAGAAAAGATCAAAGAAGAAAAGAAATAGAAGAAAAATAGAGATGAAAAGGAGAAAGAGACGGGAAAAGAGACGAGTTAGAAAAGACCAATCAATAGAAAGCTAGAAAGATTTAAATAAAACGTCAACAGTCACATAGACGTCGATAGCTTAATGAAAATGCTTTGCATACAGATAAACATATCTCAGTGTCAACACGGAAAACAAACATTTGTATGTATTTATACTTACGTATATAATAATGTCCGATTGATTTAAAATCTTGGTTATTGTTTTTATAGTGTGTGTATGTACGCGTACACCAGGTTTAGATTTAAGTCCGTTATTTTCTATTTTATCATTTCTGAATTATCATCACAAAAAGTTTTCTTTTATATATACTTTATTTTTCATTATTTTCCCCCTTTTATCGTTATTGTTTTTGTTTCTTATCCTCTTCTATCGGAAAACCTAATTTTGAACGGAGGATCAGAGATTTGTACATGTCTAGAGTTTTCGACTTAGACGACCCGTTCGTCAGGCGAAAAATGTATTTGAGATTAGGGCCTCATAAGATGACAAGATTGAATTCGAAAATCACTCATCGGAGGCCCACTTCAAGATTAAGCGACGTTCTCCGTTCGAAAAACCCACGAAATCATGATCTAAAGAAAGAAGACAGTTGAATCCGGATTGTTTTTCACGTCGCACAAAAACATTGTTAGCCAAGATATATAATTTTAGACGACGTACAGGCAAGCAGACGTTGTGTCAATAACATCGTCTGGTAAAAATCTCTTGGTAAACTCTTCACTTTCTTCTTACAATCTCTCTTTTCTCTCTCTCATATTTACCGGCATCATTGTTGTCGGCGTCTCTCACATTTGCCAGGCTTCGATTATTGTCGTCGTCGTCGTCTCTCTCGAAGTCTTACTCTCTCTCTCTCCCTCTCTCTCGAAGTCTCTCTCTCGAAGTCTCTCTCTCTCCCTCTCTCTCGAAGTCTCTCTCTCTCCCTCTCTCTCGAAGTCTCTCTCTCTCCCTCTCTCTCGAAGTCTCTCTCTCTCCCTCTTTCTCGAAGTCTCTCTCTCTCCCTCTTTCTCGAAGTCTCTCTCTCTCCCTCTCTCTCGAAATCTCTCTCTCTCTTTCGAAATCTCTCTCTCTCTCTCTCTCTTTCGAAATCTCTCTCTCTCTCTCTCTCTCTTTCGAAATCTCTCTCTCTCTCTTTCGAAATCTCTCTCTCTCTCTCTTTCGAAATCTCTCTCTCTCTCTCTTTCGAAATCTCTCTCTCTCTCTCTTTCGAAATCTCTCTCCAAGTCTCCCCCTCTCTCTCTCTCTCTCTGCAAGTATCTCTAACTTCTACTTTGTTTCAACTCTCAAATTTCATCCCTTCAGTTTTATTTTCATAAGTTCCTTTCTTTTCTGCTCGCTGTTAAACATTCATAACTTTCGTTCATCCTTTTTATTTTCCCCTTCACATACATAGAACAGATTTCCTTATTCGCCGCTTATCTATCTCTCTATTCATCTTTCCTTGCCTCTCTCTTTGATCTTCACTCTTTCTTTTTTTTTTTTCTCACTCTCATTTTTAGGTGTAACCCGCTCTTTCACTTCGATCTGTTTTACAAATCCGTAATCTTTTCTCTCTTCTCTCTAGATTCCTTTTTGCTCAATCTTTCCCGAATACATATCTTCATTGAACGTAACCAACCACTCAACGTTCAGCATTTCCTCTCCCCCTCTTTTCTTCCAATTTTTACCTCTTTTTTTACTTTTATTTATATTTTTTACCTTTTCACTTATCCCCCCCCAGTTTTCCTTCCCATCATTCTCTTCCCCCTCCCCTCATCCCCAAATACTCGATGATCTGTCATAAATCAGATACGACTCCTACATCCGCTTGACAGCAGACGTCTTCAGCTTTTTGTTTCGACCTCGTCGAAAGATTGTTGTTGTTTTTTTTGTTTTTTTTGTTGTTATTGTTTATTTTTTACCTTTTTTTTATTCCTTTCTTTGCTACGTTTTCTGCAAAGCCGGGACTAGTAGAAAATTGAATTCTTGAACTATTGACGCTAAGATAGCTAGGAATGATTGTAATGAAAGAAATGAAAAATAAAAAGAAAAGAACTAGATGAAAGTAATGATAGAAAGAGACAGACAAAACGAAAGATGGCTCCATTTAGAATAAAGGTTAGAGCAGTTCAAACAGTATAACAGCCGAGTGACGGAGTCGGCTAATGAATAGGATGTCATGATGCATATTTCATCCTGCAAAATCCTTGATCTATGAAAGGGGTGCTGGAAGCTCCCAATTCACTGTCAGAGAGCAGCCGGCAAACGTCATCAGAAACATCTTTTTTGACTATGAAGGGTCACTGCAGTTACGCTGCCAAGTGTTAGGTCTTTGTAGTTGCCAGCACTTCCCAACTAACCTTGACGATTTCACTGCACCATCGTCAAACACACAAACACAAGGGGGTGCTGAAAAATTGTCGACCTGGTAGAAAAGAGAATTCAAAAATTGTTCGGGTATATGGTCACATTTTGAGAAGCAGGGTGGGTCAAAACTTTTCAGCACTATTTCACATATATATCAAGGCATGTGTTGTTAAAGATTACGGAACTTTTCCGGTTAATAATCTTTTTTTGCTGTTTTTCTTGCTTTCTCGCAAGTTATATATGGGCCTATCTTGTTGAAATAAGACCCTATTTCATGGTGTTTCGCCGAGGGCTTTCGGTTATCGTCAACCGTCATCACGGCCCTATGTTTTGGTTTGAAATAGGTTGCTTATTATTTTAGTTTTATAGATAATGTTTTGGGTATTTAGACAATGTGGTTGGATTAGTTCATTATTAATCAGGAGAGGGGTTGGTGTTTATTATTTGGAGGATTAGTTAAGTATATTTAAGTAGTAAAGGCTATTCTATTTATGTTGGGTTTTTGATTTTTAATTAGGATGGCTTCAAAATTCGTTAGATTAATCCCTTAGAATATAGAACCCGGTTTTAAATGGGGTGGATAATTCAGGGCTTTTTTTCTATTATGAAAGAAACTGTGTGATAAACTGTAGACACACAGGCGAAATTAGAAAGGTATAGATCAGTGTAACATTAAATCATCTCTTGATATTTCTTCTATGATATTTCTTTTACTGATCAAGGGGTGAACGAGGGAAATTTTTGGAATCGTCTATCCAAAAAAATAAACATTGCGCAAAAATGTACTCATCCTTTTAACGGTAACAAGTAATAACCTACAAACAATGCAAACGTAGGATACAAATAATCGATGTTTGGTTCAACACTGGACATTCCTCTGGATAGATTTTATATTTTACGGGTCAAGAATGAAAATTTCTGGGCAAACATGGACCTTTCAGTATCAAAGGGATGTTGTTTTTTTCCATTGTCACCGATGTTATTTTAATTACCTTCTATCTTCGGTAAGGTCCATTGTTTTAAAAAGCGATTATTAGATTTGTAGTAAAACCTAAATATATGATGAAAGTGAATTCATCCATTTTTTTTTTTTTTTTGTTCTTGAGAATTTAAGATAAAAATTATGAATACTATTTATTTATTAGAATGTTTATTCACAAGAATAATTTTATATTTTCAATATTCTAAAAACAAATATAATTGTATCAAAATTAATGCGATGCAATATTTATCATTTACTAATAAAGAAATAAATATGAAAATTTTTTATTTACAAATTTATAAACATTTACTAAACTATTAAAATATGTGAACCGACTATAAGGAAATCCTTATTATTTACCATTTTATAAAGTTCGAATTAACTGGCAATTAGGTCGATGTTTTGCCACCCATTCCAATAAACAATGTCTAAAAGAATCACAATTTTATAAATAGGGTTTATCACTTTTATTGGCAAATCTCAAGGACAGCGAAAATGTATAAATTCACTTTCATGTTTAGGTTTTAATGTAATTCTAATAATCCCTATTTTTAAGATAAGACATTTTTGTTTTGTTTTGGGTTTTTTTTGGGGGGGTGCTTTTTTTTTGTTTTCTGTTTTTTGGATTGTTTTGTTTTTTTTTATTTTTGGCGGACACGAAATTTGAGTCAGATTGAAACAAAAAGTCGTACGAAATTGCGTGCATTAAAATACTTCAGAGAGAGAGAGAAACAAATTAAGAAAGGATAAAGTACAAAATATTTGCGCATTCCTTTTATTTATTTATTTTTCGCGTATGTTTGTATAACATTTAGATAATAAGAAAAACATGGACGGTAAATGAAGATTGAGATGGATAAGGAAAATAATGAGAAGATACAGACAGAAAAGTGAGAGGAGTGTAGAAACGTAAGATAACGGACGGCATAAGTTGTTAGCAATTTCCACTCTTTCATTTCGTTTAGTTTTAATTCTCTTGACCAACTTAAATTACTTGGTACTTGTAATCCTACAAGCAAATTTTTACCTACAATCAGGAGTCAGTTGAAATATCTGGAACACATAATGAGAAAAAAGGGACTGAAAAATGTAATACACACAAGGCATACTGAAGGTAATAATAAAGGGAAGCAGCGAGTAACCTCCCACTTTAGGGTTTGTGGGAATGGATGACAAGACAAAGGATTGTAAATGGTCATAAGACAGGATATCATGGAGAGCCATGATCCTGAAGGGATATGGTACATAAACGACGACTTGCAACCCAACCTTATTGTCTACAGTTATCACTCAACCATCAGTTCATGATCATAAAATTTATTCATTCAAAATGTATTTGCCGGCAATTAAACGTTATCTACGAAAATTAAAATGAATACCAGGTTTTGTTTTACGCCACGATTAATATACGCTTGAGATTGCCGGATATTTTTTTTAATTTAAAAAATTTTTTTTTTAATTTTTTTTTTTAACTTGTCCCTCTGAAATCGATTGTTATTGATTCAATATCAGTTGGTTTTAAAAATTAAATTTTCGTTCAGAAATCTCGGCATTTAATTGGAGGCCAACAATTGTAAAAGCCACAGATTGACGAATTCAAAATTAATATAATTTAACTGAAAGAAATGACGATTAAACTGAATCTTTTAGACAAGTCAGTTTGATTTGCTTGGTCGATTTAATACACATCAACCCTTAAAATGTAATTTAATGTCGCATTTTGTATAGGTAACCCAGTATGGATCAAACTCACTATTTAATATTAATGATCAGTCAGGGCTTGTTAATCATAAACTATGCCGAAGCGCTCTAAATTTAAAGAGGAACAATTAGTGGATTCTTTTAATCAAATATAATTTTATCATTATAAACCTTATATTAAGTGTGTAAGCATGTTTGAATAGATATTATTATTTTTTCTGTGTTTATTTTTATCAGTGCAATTAATGCCTACTACCCTAGTGATCGAAAGTTTTAATAAAGAAATATACCTCCTGACAGGGATAGAATTTGTATTCCCTTTTAAATCAGGGAAGCTCGTCAGAAAGTATGTTATACTAAAACTTTCGATCCCTAGGCTGGTAGATATTAATTTCACTGCTTAAAAAATAAAGCAGCGATGTTTAATAAAACATCCCACTAAATATAAAGGTTATAATAGGTCTGATAAATTGGATCGCATTTATGATTCCAATGTAATAAATTATGACCATGGAGTACTAGTGTTTAAGCCTTTTTATTATATTCCTACTCTGTCCTGGACATTGAGTTCTACCTGGATTCTATCCTCTTGGAATTATATATAATATGTACGAGAGGGAGATGTAGATTTGTTTTTTACTATGTGTTCATTTTCTTCTGTATTTTATTGAAATTCACTTGAAATAATATTGATGCACTTTTAGTATTGACGCATATTGGTTTTATTTTCTGTCTATTTAAAATAGACAAGTTTGTAGATTCACAATCCTGTACTGGAGAGGATTTTAAGTTCATGAATGATTTGTGCAAGTCTCTCTTCAGATAATGGGTTTCTTTCTTTTGAATTGTACATAAGTAAACCAATGAAATCTGACCGAGAGTCACATGACTTTGTTACGTTTTATTTTCACTCATAACTGTTTTGCTTGGCGATTGCTTATTGCTAACATCACATGATCATATAGCTTAATCGATTCACTGTGCTTATCCTATTCTTGGTTTGATGTTCGGATTTTCAGTACACCAGCAAAAAGCTTAAGAAGTTTGTTAATCATCACTCAACGGTTTGATCGTAACAACAAAGTTTAACTGCGATTGACCCTGGGTCAGAGGATAATGCTATGATGTTGTTTTATATCCGTTTTCTAAATAAGTAAGGCCTCCTAGCTGAATAATATGCTAATTGAATATTCTTATACTGTGTAATAAGTAGATTTTTGGACATGCGAGTTGGCGCAAGTGTTGCCAACACAGACAACGGTGAACAGGGCCCAAATCCCATTTGAGGCACTATTTATTCGCTTTGTACTTATCTTGAGATAGTTGCACACCTCTCATCACCAGGTGTCTTAATAGCGGTTTCTTCACTCGTATGCTCCGATGATGAAGTGTATTCAGATCGGCAATTCGTCCCTGTTCCTCGGGCTTTTTAACCAAATGTTGCTTCAGTAACATATTCCGGTTTGTCACGTCTACAATCGACACTTTTTCATTCACTTTGTATTCCATTGGTAAGGGAGAAGTTCTACTCAGACAGTTTCTTCAGAAGAAAGATTCTTCTCCGATCATTACGATTTTAATCTCTTCAAGTCTAGGTTCAACAATCTGAACGACACCAGCACACTCAAACCCCCGGTCACGATGACTTGTGACTTCGTGCTAGCCCCAAATGTTCTGTCTACCAAGTTTCACTCACAAGGCTTGGGTCAACCCGTGGTAACGTTTTCAGGTGCTTTCCAAAGGT